AAAATTTATCTATCATGAATACTTTAGTATTGGTGTGCGTAAGCTAATTCGAAGACTCTTGACTGTTAAATTAAAAAAGAAATATTGTTAGCTGAGCATAGTAATTTTTAACCCAGTAATAAACCCAAGAATTCAATCCAAACTGAACTCAAGCTTCTATAAAATTTGTAATATGAGGTTAATTCCAAGTTAAACATGAGCAATGTTAGGATTTAAGGTTCGGAATTGAATTCTTATTCAAATTAATCACGAGTTGACAAGTTTATAAATTGAGTTAAATTTGAGATGACCTGTCAATCTTATCTAATACACCTCAATTTACCTCGGCTGATTACACAACTACATTAGTGAATAAATTTTGAATCTCAAAAAATAAAAATTTTAAATTTTAAATTATTATTAAAAAAATAAAAAAAATTATAAACATTTGTGACTTTAAACCTCACGATGACTTGTTGAGTCGCCCCTGAAATCACATGTAAGAGCATCTCGAAGAGATGTTGTAAAGTACAAAATTAACTAAAATTTAGTTAATCAAAGTAAAAAATCATACTCTAACAGATATATTCAGATACTCTAAAATACATTTTTGCTACAGTGATACTCTAAATATAGAGTATCACTATAGTAATATGTAAAATTTGTTTATAATATTTTCTCTCTCTTCCTTTTTTTTCTTGCTATGTCTTTCTCCATTTCACTATTCTCTTCTTTCTCTCTCTTTTTCCATTTCATTATTTTTAAAAAAAATAATACAAAAAAAATCAGAAATAATATTTAAAAAGAATAATTAAAAATATAAAAAATTTATTAAAGTGTGTATTAAAAAAATGAATAATTAAAATAAAAAATATTATTTTTTGAGTAGCTAAAATAGGTTTTGTCGTGGGAGAATGGAGATGCTCTAATACAGCCTTTCCCAAAGCGAAGAATGTCATCAAAACACATACTACCTTTGTCTAGCTGGACTTTCGACCTTTGCGTTTGAACACTTGTGAATAATTCTGATTTTCTACAGGTCATGTGCATAGGATCATAGGGTCAGATGCTGACGTACATGGGCACTGCTCGTTTCAAGCGAAAAGCAATCAAATTTTTAAGCAATCGTGTCAAGCACCCATTGGCTAAGGCCCCAAAAACTTAAAAAAAAAACTAATACTATCAAATCAAAGTTGATATAATACGATTTAAAATTAAAAAATCTAAGTTTTTCTTTTAAATTAGTCGTTTCATATATATGCGGATACGACACAATATACGAATAATCAATAAATTAATTTTAAGTGAAATATTTTTTTTATCAAAATTTGATAAGACCCGACACGAACTCTCTTAAACAAGTCATTCTCTTTCTTTTCTTTTTTTTTAAATTCACCCAAATATTTTTTTGTTAATTTTATATTATCTAGAATCAATTTTATAGTAAAAACATGAATTTCAATATATCACTTTTTATTTAAGTTTGAATAATTAAATAAATTTTAAATGTGTCGAAAATTTATTAAATAAAAAATTAATATAAATATGCACAATAAAAGTTCGATTTGTCCTAGATTAAATTAAAACATATATATGATGGGATCGTGGTGGGTGGGGGGAGGGGGGG